CCTACAGTATTTTTACAGTCTTTATTTTACAGTTAAAATAAATGTTTATCAAATAAAGTCTAATGTTACAACTAACCGGGGATCCCTTTAAAACTCTCAGAAAGTGGATGTACATCTGCAACTGAGTCAGCCTAACTCGAGACTTTTCTAGTAGTTCCTCCTGAGAACTAAGTCCAGTCACTGACCAGATTTTCCTCTCCAGACCACTGAGGAGTGTTTCCCTCATAACCATCTCCTTGAAGAGGGGAACCTCTAACCCCTAATTTACACTACATGCGTTCCATCTCCGTTCTGCTGCGGTCCGACCTCCGCAGCAAATACACACCCATTATAATCAGAGTGTTTACACTGGCTGCGCACGGCGGCGGTGAGCGGACGGCGATCCGTCAAAATTAGAACAGATCCTATTTTTGCCAGAAGATGGAGCTGCGCTGGAGTCAATTTTTAAAGATTATGTCGCACCAACAGGAAAAGAAACGAGCACAACATTCGTACTTTCAAAATAAGACTCTATTCAGTGGAATAATTTGTCGGAATAAGGTCGAAATTGCAGCTATATTAATAAATATATGGATATATTTCTACATAAATGCTGTCAGAATATATTGTGTGTTTGGGAAGCAGATGGAAACATGTAGCATGAAGCATATGTGTACACACACGATCCACGTGGATTTTATTTTTGAAATCAGAAGTTTCAGAAAGCCGACAGCGAGACAGTTTCAACATAGATACCAAAAGCCTTTATATTAATGTTTTCAGCTGTGTTTGGAGTTCGTCTTTCATAGATTTAATTATTTTTTGCTGTGACTTCCACACATCACTGAATTTATCATGCAATCTGCTTCCTGCATGTCTGTCGGACCGGAGCAGAGCGAAGATAATGTAAACTGGACTTGAAACGGCGCAGCTGCGACCTGCTCAGGGCGCAGAGCGGAGACGGAACGTAAGTAATGTAAATCCAGGGTAACAATCCAGCTGCACTGCCCTGATATACATGTGATGCTGCAAAGACAAGTCAACCAAGACAGCCCCACAACATCCAGAGCCTGAACCTCCGGGCAGACCTCGCCCACCCTCAGAGCACTACTGCTGCAGCTCCGGTTAAAGACTTAACTCTAAAGTCTCATGCTTCTTTTCTCTCTATTTAAGATGTGTTTTTGAGACTGAGAAGGTTTTCAAAGTATTGCTTCCACCACTCAACATCTTACATTAGGAGGTGTTTGCAGTGGCATCAAATTTTAAAGCGCAGCACCAATTTATTTCCCCATCTTTTTACAAGATCAACAGCAGATCAAAAATTGTGTTTTAGTGCGAATCCCTCAGGATGAACAAGCAAAGCGCCTCATTCTCAACTTTTCATTTAGAAAAAAACTTTCAAGCTTCACACATGGAAGAGAAATCCACCCAGAGAGGAGGAATACACAACTCTCTCTCCACTCTGGCCTCCAGGGAGCAGAGCACTGTGCACGCTGCAGACGAGTTCTCTTATCAGTTAAAGGAGACGATTTCTCCATTTCCAGGATGAAAATAAGAGTGTATTCTTCTGCTGTCGCTATCATCCCTGCTCATTACCTAAATAGAAAACACAGAGCTAAACGGAACAAGTTCATACCTGTTCCCCTGGGCTTCACAGAACACAAAGATCTCCTCTGTGAACCAGAGAAATCGTTGAGAAAGCAGCAGGAGAAGCTCAAACTGAGCTGTTTAAGACAAAACAGACAGAACAGGAGCTAAAAGGAGCAAAACACTATCAAAAAGTAACAGAATACTAGCTAAGAAGAACAAGTAGGTAATTGTTAACTAGCTAACTAACAGAATAAAAGGCTGAGGCATGTGTGTGTGTGTGTGGGGGGGGGGGGTATTATACAAAATCAACTTTTTTAATCAACTTTTTAAATCTTTATATCATGTTATAATCCTTCCCTCGTCAAACTCATACCTGAGTGTTGTTTTGACTCATTCATCAGCAGCACAGCTCCCGCCCCACAGAGCACCCCTCTCATGAAGAATTGCTGTGAAGACGTGCTGAAGTGGGAGTGTCAGAAACGATAGGAGGTTCTTAAAGAGACAGAGGCCAATTTCAAGGTGTTTAGATAGACTGAGTCTCATTTCAGGGGCTGGGTCCTCCTGAGTCCCGAGTGCTGTCCCAATTCATACGCTCCTTCTCAATGTGAAGTGATGAGGATATCCCAGGATTCATTGCACCGTCAGCAAACTGAACAGAGAAATGATGAGGGCTGAGTTTCTTTAACCAAGTTAGGATTAAAATTCATCAAATAATTTGTTTTTGCTTTGCAACTTAGCTGATGAAATTCCTGCTGCAGTGAGATGTTAAACAAAATGCTGTTTTTATTTTTCATTTTATTTACTTATTTATGTGTAACCTTCATTGATTAAATAATTGATTAACCTGGTTGTCTAAGTGATGACATCACAGTTTCTTACTGAGCTCCTGTCAGAATGGTTGTGATATTGACCTGAAGTGTGATGTTATTCCTCCAGTAAAAAGACGTGCATATACAACCCAATGCATTTTAAGGCTAAAGGCACGTGATTAAAAAAAGTAACACCTGGTAACGAGGTGGTTTGTAGTGACACAAACGTTTCTTCTGAAGACGAGGCCTTCTCGTTTCATTTATGCAGCCTACCTGCCTCTGTGGGCTGCAAGTCCTGAAATGAGGCACAGCCATGATGCAAAGTTTAATTTATTTTTGATATGAACAGCTTTCTCATAACAACTGAAGGAAAGACAGTTACTTGATTGTGGTATAGAATTAAACTATATGCCAGGAAAATACATAATTCACCCTCTTCCCCTCATTTAAAAAAAGCAAGAGCCAGACAAAATCTAAGAGAAATAAACTGAAAAGTAGCAAAAAGAATACCAAAAGTAGCTATATTCAAGCTAAAGCAGACATAAACAGCAAACATGCTGAAGCAGATTTCAAACTAAATACCACATAGCAGTAACATAATGACCCCCGCACGCAGAAATGCACCAGAACTCAGAAGTCTTTATTCCAAATAAATGATGCATCCCAAAATTGTAGTGGTTTGGGTGTGGGTCTTTTTTTAGGCGGGGCATTAGGTGACCTGATGGATAGTCCCTCATCAGAGCTAAACAACAAAAGAAATCTGAAGCTCCCATGTTTAATCATTTTTGAGCTATAACCATTTTTGTTTGTACAGATACCCCTTTTTCAGATAAATTGGAGGTCCGAGCGGGGGTGGGGGTGGAGGGTGGGGGCACTGATTGGTGGGCCTGATGGATAGAGCTTCATCAGAGCTAAACAACCAAAAAAATTTAAGTTCCTATGTTGAACAGTTGCTGAATTATAAGCATTTTGGTACGTCCAGACACCCATTTTTCAGAAAATTGGGGGTTAAGGAGGTGGGGGTACTTAATGGGGGGGTGGGGGGCACTGATTGGTGGGCCTGGTGGATAGAGCTCCATCAGAGCTAAACAACAAAAGAAATCTGAAGCTTCTATGTTGAACAGCTTCTGAGTTATAAGCATTTTTGCATGTCCATACACCCCCACTTTGAAAGGAGCCCCCTCCTCAAATATGGAGTCTATCGTAAAACCGTTGACTGGCGCAGTGTAGGTCAGACTCATCTACAGCCCTGCCAAATATCATGTTGATTGGCACAGCCGTTTTTGTGGTACTGTTGACCAAATATCACTGGAAAAATAAATAAATAACAAAAACATACAAAAACAATCAAAAGGAAAAAAGTTAAATAGGTCCTCTAGACGGGTTCTTCTTTAATGAAACTTTTCATCTCTCCTCCAAGAGACTTCTTCAGTCTGAGAGTTTCAGGCAAAATTACGGCTTTTGAGTCCTGCCTCCAGGTGACTGATACTCACATCACATGGCTATCGTTCACAACTGATTAACGCCTATTGTTAACAGGGGGTGGAGTGATACTGCCAATGGCAGCGCTGTAGGAGGGGGACAACTGAAAACTGAGACCTCCACCTCTGTTTAATGATGGACGGTCTTTCTTCACAAAAATGGCTTCTTTTACTCCTCTCTCAAACCAACGTTCCTCTCTATCAAGAATGAGAACNATTTTCGCCGGTCGCTTAGCTGGAGGAGGGCAAGCGATTGTCGCCTCACCGCACAGGCTCCACAGGAAATGAATGGAGAGCGAGCGATGTCACCTCCCGTGTGTCGAGCTCTTAAGGCAGGGGTGCTTACCAATCAATGCCTCAGCAACAATTGAGGAGTGTTCATCTTGGGGATAAGCTGTGTATTTATACATCTCCTCTGCAAGCTTCTGCAAAATGTCATGTTTCATGTCTCGTGACACTGACATGCATACCCCATTTCTCATAAATAAGGTTTCCCTGTCTCAGTCTATATTCAATGTCCACAGAGAAGTTTAGCACCTCAAATGTAGAAGGCCATGGGTCACGTGAGGTCTCCTCCTCGTTGTGTGGCAGTATATCAGTGTCAGATGAACTTGTTGTAGATAGATCACATTCTGAAGATAAAGTGCTGAAAGATGACAATGTTATGGTTACATTTTCTAGTGAGACAATCTTCAGTGTTGGTCTTGTAGGCAATTCAGCGATATCTGAGACATTGCAAAAAGCATTGTTGAACTCTGGACCTTCATAGTGAAGTATGAAGTCGTACTGAAGACTGAAATGCTTTTTCAGCTCACTTATGAGTTCTTCCAAGTTATTGGGCCTTTTCTGGAAAGTGATCTTGCGGATGTCATTTTCCCCAACCAATACTCTCACTGGCCATGCTTGGTCCATGATTCTGAAAGAATCAATTATGACATTAGCACAAAATATAACGTTTCAAGGTAACAAACAGCTGTCCTTTCACTCTGTAGGCAGAGAGGGGAGCAATGTCATTGAGGTCTTCTAACTGAGTTACAACCAGGCTTGAGCTACTTTTGCAGACTTCGTAAGATCTGAGGTGTTCATGATACCATGCAAACATCTGTGTGCAAATAAACCTAACATTGGTATTCACAACCAAAGCCTGATGAATCTGCCTGAACTCTGGAAGGCCTGCACATGAACCAACAGACAGCAACATGTCACTTGCATACTTAACACCATCTATGACAACAGATGTTGCTGCGAGGACTGTGTTTTGTGATGAATATCTTGCCAACAAATATTGCTGCACACTGTCTGGGAGAGAAGAAGCCATGATGCTTTTTGCTTTATCCAGTAAAACTACTGGTTTAAAAAATGTAGCAGAATCTAAGTGGTAGGCCATCATCTTCTGATGTCTATCGGCTAAAGTCAAAGGAACATTTCTGAAGTTGTGGGCTTCGCGAATGATTCTCTTGAAGATTTTGTGCTTCCCCTCAAACCTCATTGTCCACACATGGATGAGTGGTCCATATACTTGAATAAGATGGGGATAACGCTCCAAGTAATGGTGTTTTGGACGAAGCCTATATTGAGGGAATGCCTTTTGAAGCAAAGACCTATGCTCAGACACCTTGAAATCCAAATACTGGAGTGACTCCTCAGTAAACCTCAGAGACATGACCAACTCAACCACATCTTTCAGGTACAGTAGAACTTCCCATGTTTCATGTCCCTCTAGGATATAACGGCCAATCATCAGGGGAATCAGTCTGATCAGACTCCAGTTTTCATGACCATTCCCTCTAATTGTCCCTCTTGCTTGAAATGTTTTTGGTATTACCTGCGGCTGGTTGGTCTTGTCTGAATGTTTGTAGGGAGAATCACTGTTGGTATGGTGTTTTTGGGCTGATGTGCAGTGCCATTTGACCTCCAAACATGATGTGTATTCTGGCA